ACTTTTTTGTTAGAGAAAAGTCCTTTCCTTTACCTCACCTCATTTCTGCACCATATAAAGCGAGCAGCATATTGTCATCATGAGTGTCGTTGGCATAGATTTCGGTTCTCAATCGACGAAGATCGGCGTTGCTAGGAATAAGGGGATCGATATTGTGCGTATATATATATTGTTTCTTTCTCCCTTGTTTCTGCTTTGCTTTCCCCTTCCGCCTCCACCCCTCCCCCCCTTCCTCTCCCAATCCATCTTGGATATATTTGATTTTATACTCTGGGTTCATTCTCACTGACCAAGTGTCCTCGTTCTGGGAATGTACCATTAGATCACGAATGAAGTCTCTAATCGGTCTACACCGTAAGTTCCACATCGAAACTCCCTGTCATTGAGATATCAGATAGATATCCTCCCTCTCCAAAATACGCACCCACATGTTAAAATAGAAGGATATACGCTTACATGTTATCCCCGTCCCGTCTATACAGATCCCTAGTTGGGTTCGGCCCCAAGAGTAGATACATCGGTGAGGCCGCTAAGACACAAGAGATCTCCAATCTGAAGAACACCGTCGGCACCCTGAGACGTCTGGCTGGCCGTTCTTTCAAGGACCCCGATGTCCAGATCGAGCAGGACTATAATACTGCCACCTTAATCGATATCAATGGTGAAGCTGGCGCTGAGGTGTCTTATCTGGGCAAGAAAGAACAGTTTACTGCTACCCAGCTAGTGGCTATGTTTCTGACCAAAATTAAAACAACCGTCGCTTCTGAACTGAAACTCCCCGTTGCAGACGTTGTGTTAAGCGTACCTCCGTGGTTCACGGATGCCCAGCGCCGGAGTCTGCTAGATGCTAGCGAGATTGCCGGTTTGACATGTCTGCGCCTCATCAATGACTCCACTGCTATTGCTCTCGGTTGGGGTATCACGAAATTCGACCTACCTTCTGCCGAAGAGAAGCCCAGGAGGGTTGTCTTTGTTGATATTGGACATAGCGACTACACTTGCTCCGTTGTTGAGTTCCGCAAGGGAGAACTAAACGTCAAGGCCACGACATATGACCGCCATTTTGGAGGCCGTAACTTCGATAAAGCTTTGGTCGACCATTTCGCCAAGGAATTTAAAGAAAAGTTCAAGATTGATATCAGGACTAACCTGAAGGCGTGGACCCGGACTCTAGCTGCTGCGGAGAAGCTAAAGAAGATCCTCTCCGCAAATGCCTCCGCACCCATGAGCATTGAGTCCTTGATGGACGACGTCGATGTCCGTAGCTTCGTCAAGCGCGAAGAACTCGAAACAATGATCCAGCCCCTTTTGGACCGTGTCACCGTACCTCTCGAGCAGGCCCTTGCCGAGGCGAAGCTAAAACCAGAAGATATCGATTCCATCGAAATGGTAGGCGGCTGCACCCGTATCCCCATCATCAAAGAGAAGATCAGCGAGTTCTTTGGCAAACCGCTCTCCTTCACGCTCAACCAGGACGAAGCTGTTGCCCGCGGCTGTGCCTTCAGCTGTGCTACTCTCTCTCCCGTATTCCGCGTTCGCGACTTCTCCGTCCACGACATCGTGAACTATCCCATCGAGTTCACGTGGGAGCAGGCCCCCGAAATCCCTGATGAGGCCACCTCTTTGACCGTTTTCAACAAAGGCAACGTTATGCCATCGACCAAGATTCTTACTTTCTATCGTAAGCAACCGTTCGATATTGAGGCGCGATATGCAAAGCCAGAGGGATTGCCTGGCAAAGCAAACCCGTGGATCGGCCATTTCTCCGTCAAAGGTGTGACACCAAACCCCGACGGCGATTTTGCTACCTGCAAATTGCGAGCTAGGCTCAACCTGCATGGCATCCTCAATATCGAATCTGGATATTACGTGGAAGACGTGGAAGTCGAAGAGCCAATTCCAGAGAAAGAAGGCGAAGTAAGTCTTTTTTACAAACCCCCCTCTACTAGCCCCTCCCCCACTCCCCTCCCTAAAAAACCAATTATCCCGTGTCAAAATGTTTTTTAACGAAATGGCATGGGCAAAAATCTACTACCGACGTAAAGAAGAACGTGTTTTCTAACATGAGAAAACTCTGGAAACAGGCCATGGATACGGATGCGCCCAACGGCGAGGCCGCAGAGGCTAAGCCCAAGATGCGCAAAGTCAAAAAACAGGTGCGCAAGGGTGACCTTCCCATCTCGTCCGGCACTGCAGGCCTCGACGCGGCCGCCAAGGGACGTCTAAGCGAGAAAGAGAATGCCATGTTCATGGAAGACAAGCTTGTTGCGGATACGGAGGATAAGAAAAACGAGCTTGAGTCGTATATATATGAGCTTCGGGATAAGATTGATGGTGTCTATTCTGAATTCGCCAACGAGGACGAGAAGGCGAAACTTAAGGCAAAACTTGATGAGACAGAGGTATGTTTGGCGTTCTTATTTCTTTCTCCCCCATCCCCTAGCTTCTTTAGCGGTCCTAACAGATCAACATCAAAATATACAAAATATAACCGACCAAAGCAATGACATGCTAACTTCTCGTCCGCCTTCCAGGACTGGTTCTACGAGGACGGCGAAGACACCACCAAAGCCGTTTACATCGCCAAAATGGATGAGATCCGCTTTGTCGCGGGCCCCATTATTCAGCGCCACGCGGACAAAGTCGAAGCTGAGCGCATGGCTGCCCAGAAGGCGCAAGAAGAGGCGGCTGCGAAGAAACGCGCGGAACAGGAGGCGGCCAAGAAGAACGCAGCGCCTGCAGGCGCTGATGCGGAGATGAAGGATGCGGATTCCGCGTCTCCTAGGGCCGGGGATGAGCCAATGCCAGAAGTTGAGGAGGCTTCGTGATTTTTAGAATATATCCCCCCCTCCCCTCCTCTTTTTTTTGATCTTCTCTCTGTTGTTCGTTTTTCGTTTTATGTCTGTGTTGTATGCGCTGCCTTTTTTTTTTTTTTTTTTTTTTTTCCTATTCTCTTTCGCTTCTTTTCGTTCGTTTAGAATAATATGAAAACTTTTCTTTCACTTTATCCCTTTTTCGTTTATCTCTGTTTATTATTTTAGGAGTAGTGGGTGGCGAGGGGACGGAAAACGGAATATGAGATGATGCTTGATGGTGATGATGACGATGGTCGCTTTTTTCTTGCCCTTTTCTCCATTCCTTCACCTCATCCGTTCTATCTCATCAGCTATCTTCTAGATTCCTCTTCTCTCTTGTATCCTCCTTTCTCTCCCTTTTCCCCCCTTCTCTTTTTATTCTTTTACTTCTCAGTAATTTATGTTTGCTACATCCACATAAAATAAAAGGAATCCCGGTTTGCTTAATTCTGTTTTAAAAACCAACCATATCTCAGCATCTTAACAGAGCACCCACTCACACGTACTGCGCGCATCTATATGGCGCTCGCGCCTTATTACCTGCTCTTCGAATCCCGCTTCCCAATATCCGTTATCCCCCTTACCCTTCCACCGATCTCCCGCTTAATCATGCCTCTACACGAGGTACTTGTGCTTCTACCTGACTTACTTGTATTTTGGATATGTATCTGTAATTGGAGAAGGAGCTCCTATTCCCACGGCACGAAACAAAAAAGGGAAAACCAGTAGAGGCAGAAGCTTGCGGATGTAGCGAAAGAGAAGGGAAATAGGAGAAAAAAAGGGGCGGCTGGGAGGAGATAGCAGGAGTCGAAATTTTTTTTTTTTATTTTTTTTTTATTTTTTTTTTTTTTTAAATATTGGATAGTATAGTTCACACAGTGTTTTATCTAGCGCGCGTTTTTGATTATCTCTCCTTGGAAACCTGGTTCTGTTCCTAGTATAACTACTTGTTCTAACAGCTCCATCACTTCACTTTGTAATTTGTAGTTCCCTTGGTCGCAACTGGCCAACTCTCACATCAATTACATGTTGTTTTATTTCGCCAGGCTCGTCCCTTTATTTTACCTTCTTTATCAGCACATGAATGGCTTGTCTAGTATTATTGTCTTTTATGATTTTGTGTTGGTGGTTCAGTCATCGCTTTTGAATAGTCGCAGTATCAAGATAAACTAACGAAATCCTGATATGATCTTCCTCGCCTCACTAACGTGGTCCTAAATCGGAATGAGGGAGGTGGAATCCGTCCTCTTCCAGGGAACGGATATTTTTACATAGGTTGATCGTTTGCGAGAAACGGACAGTTTAGTCAATGAAGAATATCAGCATCCGACGGGAGCGCAAAAGAAGTTGAAAATAGACCGCTTGATGAGCCAGAACGCTCGAGGATAAAGAAGTGTATCGGATGGGCACTCCCCAGCTGCATCAAACCACAACCAATCTATCCTTCGTTGCTAATGGTATTGATCTCTCCCGCATGCTTTGAATTTCAACTTATGATCCAGTCCAAATAGCAAGTCACAAAGAAAAATGACCAGTCCAGTCGCATGCTTTATGGGTGAGATCAATTCGCCCTCCTTGCCAGGATTTCTGGGGCCCGCATATAGAGCTCGAGGTTGGTCGATCTTTCAAGGATTTCCTCATTTCCAGTAAATTAACTTCCCAAATATCTTCAATGCCTTGGCTTGCACATATCACGAATTCTTTACATCTGTGAACACGGCTCACAACCTAATTTTCCTCCCATCCGTTGTGATTCCGTTGAAATCAGAAAGACGCAATTGTAATCCGCAAAAATGGCTGGTCGGATGAATGCTGTGAACGATCTTCTGCATTCATTTTGCTGTCTGCATATCAAACTGACGATCATGTCTCACGCCCTTCGACACTCCTCCAGTCAGACTGCGGGGCTCGACAATGCTGATCAGCCTTGATGCATTCGTTGGTAACTTATTTTTATCTTTTGAGTTTTTTTTTGGCTTTTGGTTTCCCATCCCCCTTTCCTTCGGAAGTAACCTAGCATCGATGACTACGCAAAGCGGCCAGCCATTGGTTGCACTGGTGCCAAACGCTGTTTGAGTCGATTCGATTAATTGTTTATGCTGCCCATGTTCCGCAACGTCATTCTCCAAGAGATGGCGGAAACGCATCACAGGTAAAGACGCAAACTCGTAGCTATTCCACATCAGCCCTTCCTTGGTAGTTGAAGGAGAAAAACAGGCGAAGCGGCCCCCGATGAAAAAGCCCATATGTCTTGTGGGACGTCCCATATACTCTGTAAGCCTCAGCTGAACGAAATGACGGGGTTCAGGAAAGTGGAGTGGGGAAGCTGGGATCAGGTTTTGTCAACCCTGGAAAAATCATGGCTGTGAAGGGCTTGGTGATTGCCCAATTGCCTTTTGTATGTTAGCTCATACCTAGCCTTCCTCCAACAGAAGGCCATCACATTTATCCATGCTTGCCCACTGTTGAAAAATCGACCTGGGAAACAACTGCTGGCCAAATCGTCCAGGGATTACTACATCCATTAGACCCGGAGCTCACCGCCACTATCCTGACTATGAGAAAGTTAGTCGAGAAAAGCCGCTATGCGTGAGAAACTGTAACATGAAACCTACATCTCCTTTAGTCCTGAAATAGAAGCAGACAAAGATGGGCAACAGTCAAGAACAGAATATTTCGTCCAACCAACCTCTGATATTTTATCAGATTGGTTCGTATCCTATGGAAAGTTCATGCTGGTCTCACTGCAACCATATATATTCACATGGCGAGATCCTCCCAGTCTCCTTGTGTCCATCAATAAGGACGGGAGCCGAAACGATTCATCCTCGAACTGACCTAGACCGTTAGAATTGTCAACTGAGCCATGGCGGCGGATGGACTAATCAGTGACCCCCGTCCCGTTTTCTGAGAAATTCAAGGACCCTGCCGCAGTTGGCGGGCTCAGGTAGCGATTTTGACTTGGGTGGGATATTGACGCTTGAAGTTGAGCAATCGTCCATTTCCAGCACTCTCCACGAAGTTCTTTTCCCTTCTTCTGCAGAACTGCCTGGCCCTATGTTTTCTTTTTGGCAAATACGAGAGATCCACTCTATCCACCGTTTGCGGCTCAAGTCAAGCGCCTTGGAATTTGGGAGGCATCGTTGACGGTCGCTACCTAGGCTAGTGAGCAGGAGACAGCCGTAGAGATGGAGCAGTTCCCCACAAATCGACTAAAGTTAGGTAACCCTAAGTAACTGGAAGGCTTGTTCCAACGCCTAAACAATTGGCTCCATTGTTAAAACCGTTACGATTAGAATCCCAAACCATGGTTAGCTGAACAAAAGCAACCAAGTCGGAATTGAATACAAGTAACAGGTCACATATACATGTAAACAATGATAGTTAAATCTCCGAGGTGGCTAATAAACAAAAATTTATACATGCATTCCCTAGATATTGCAAGCGAAAAAATCAAAGTTTGGTATATCCACCCATGCGCCGAGCCGTAAAATTTCAATGAACTCGCTGTTTATTGAGTAATGATTCAGTCGAGATTGTAGTAGAGAAACTGTGCTTTTTACTTTGTCCATACCCAGATCCATTGGATGAACTCCTGGATATTACCTTTGGTAAGCCCTTCGTCTGGGAATTGTAATTTCCCTTTCCTCTTCTCGCTCGTCACTTGAACACAATTGCGAAGATCGTTGGACCTTTCAGGGCCCCATTGCGAAAAGTTGAGTCCATGCTTAGATAATTTGTAGCCTACAATAAGCAAGAAAAATACAGGAACCTAGGATCAAAATTAGTTTTTACACATCTAAAAACCTCCTGCGATAGTTGCACAGGTTAACTCGGGCGGGCTTACTCCAATGTATGACGCAAAAAACCCGCGTATATCGAACGGGTCTTGGAGGAAAGAGGGCACTCCGTTAAATATAACCAAAAGTGTACAAGCGACCAAGCCGTAACAAGCTTTTAGCCATTGCCCGTGGGATTTATAGGGATACTGAGGGTGGTTACGATCGTAACAGGCAGCTTGAGCTTCGGATGTATTCCCATAAAGCTTAACGTCATGTAATCTGCATATAATTAGTCCGACCGTATGAGCAAATAGATGAATAATGCAACTGCTCGTACGTTTTAAAGAAGCCGAGATAAGTAGCACAGACGACAGTGTACACAATCAAACATGACACTGTGCAATTGGTCGCGAGTTCGCTCAGTCTCTACAAGCCATTCAATCGTGGTCAGCGAAAGTTTATCTATCCTAGCATCGAGCATCGTGCTGTTACTAACCTGGCCTGAAGATCCGGTCCCTAAATATCCAAGACACATTAATGCACCAGTCACTAGTACTGCCCTCAATGGCACACCATTGTGACACTGACGTAACCTTCTGGTGATAAACTCTGGTCCCGTCTGGTCGCGCAGCGCCAAAGTATGCAAGACTCTCGAAGAGACGTACATGGTGTTGATCCCAGAGGCGAACGCAGAAAACATGTAGATTGCATTGAAAAAGTGGGCGGCGGCTGGGAGTCCTCCTTGGACTACAGCGATCAAAAAGATCGAGTGTGAACTCTCAGATTGGCCGCCCCCGTTAAGAAATGGATGATCATATGGGACCAGAAATGAAGCCGTCAACATGCAGAGAGTGTACAAAGTGACGACTCGGATTGAGACCTTGCGCGACGCCATCTTCATACTCTCGGCATTAGACAAAGCTTTACTTTCTGCCGCGGTGGCAGCAGCCATGTCCATGCCTACATACGAGAAAATTATGTTGGTGAAGGTTGTCCTATAGGCACAATCAAATCACTTAGCAGGTGCTAGCAAATATAAAGTCAAATTACGCAGTTCAAATCGTACCACATCCCAAGGAACGCGCCAACTGAACCTCTGATCTCTCGCTGAACTTCACCACTCATGTGGCCCCTAACCGTATACCTTGGCGCAAAAAAGGAGTATGGTGAGTCCCAGTCTTTGGTCGGTCGTTAGCTTCAATCCGCTAGACACGTCCAGTGATGATGATATACTTACATCGAGTACCAACGGGGGTGCTATGGTATCTGTTGTCCAAGGCTAGTTTCCCGGCCAAAAGTCAGCATTTAGTTGAAGATCCCACAAGTTATATAACTAACGCTGCATTGTGTCCAGAATAACCATCATTAAGATAACCAAAACAAGAAAAGAAAGTTTTATGCAGCCGAAAACGTATTCGAGTTGGCCATAGTACTGTGGCTTATTGTTAGCAGAGCTCTCTTTGCATGTGTACAGATAGTTAATCTCGTTGCTTACCTTGACGGGTAACGTATTGATCAGCGTTACAGTTATTAGAACTACAGACACCCACACCGCAGCATGAACACTCCCCCCGGTTACCCATTCCAAATGCGTTCCATTGTCATCGATATATTTAAAACGAATAGTATTTGCGACGGCGACTAGCTGGTCAGCCGCAAGTACAGCATAGGCGAACCTTTGGTTGTTCTGTTAGCTTCCCCCTCAAGTGTACGAGATGGATAGAATAGTACCAGTAGATCCAACCCACTGCAAAGCCAACACCACGATCTAAGAAGCGCCGAGGAAACTCCATAATCGGGGCATTGACTGGCATTAATGCAGTCATTTCACCCAAACAAGAGACGACTGATGAGATAACAGTGCCCATGAGGATATAGCCTAGAACTGCACCACCAGGTCCAGCGGAGGCAAGAGATCGGCCGCTCCCGAGAAAAAGCCCTTTTAAAATAGTTAGATGTCAGGTCTTTAGTTGCGATGTCATGTACACAGGAGAGCTACCATTTCCAATTGTCCTATTGACCAAAGCGTATTTCGTCGTTAATTGATATGCCCATATGATGTGATTCGGGGTGTTCAAAGGGGTTAGTTAGGGTTTACCCAGAAAAGGCAATCATCTAAAAACGTCAGTGAAACTCTTTTCCTGCACATAATAACTATTCCAAGTTCCCAACTCACATTAATCTGCCTCTCGTTCAACACCCGCCTACAACAATGGAAAAGAACCCATTAATAAAAGCGTAATCCAACAGGCTCACATCAGATGGGAATCCAGCTCCTCACCAAACGCTCTCTCCGCTGGTTTTGCGCTCCTCTTTAACCTGGTTGGCTTCATCGAGGAATAGATGGTGTCCAACTCGCGTGCCCATGTCATTGGTTAACTCCACATCATCCCCAAGGATTTCATGGAAATGCGGCGAGACCGCTTCAGGCTTATCGTGGTCCATGGAAATTGATTCATAAGATATTGACATAATGGTAGGTGTTCTTGCGTTCACCATCAGGTCAAGAAGAGAAAAACAAAATATGCGACTGCGAACAAACTGAGGATATATAAAGACCTGTGTTTATGGAGGGCAAGCTCGTATTCGTCCCACATTTGATCTT